CTACAGACAGGTAAAAAAGATCCAAACAAATCCCAAACCAACCCTGGCAGTGATGGTGCCGTGTTTTTCTCCTTTGTTATTGATCAGACGAACCCCAGCTGCTGTGAACATCTCCTTCATCTCTGCTGGGGTGGCTGTGGTGGCAAAATCGATGTCCTGTGGTGTCACTCCGCTCAGTAAATCCCTCACAGCCCCTCCTGCTATTCTCAGCTCGTAGTTCTTCTTCTCAAACAGTTCTGGGAAGGAAGGAAACCGAACAGCAATAAACCCATGGCACAGTCCATAACCTCCCTTCTCACAAAAGAAAAATCATAGATGTGGGAATAAACACTCAAATGTGCAGGGAGCAGCAAATAACTCACAGCTTCATACAAAATGCACTAATTCATGGCACAGCTCAGCACCCACAGGTACTTTCCCTGTCATTCTGATTTATTTTTCTGAAGCTTTCCTGGAAACTTAACTATTGGCAGGTCTCTAATTGGTCCTGGGCATTCTGGGCTGGGCATCAGTTTGAAGAGTCAGGGGCTGACAAGGGGAAAGAATTCAGATTATTATTTACAGCAGAGAACACCTGACTTCTTCAGGAACAACAGGGCATCGTGGAATCGGCCTACAAAGGGAAAAACGAGCTCTGACATGTCCCTGGAGACTGGCTGGGGCTGTTCGGCCTGGAGAAGGCCCTGGGAGCAGAAAAATTCTCGGGGACGCTTTTACCAGGGCAAGGGGTAAGGGCAATAAGGTGAGGGAGGGTGGGTTCAGGAGTGAGGTTTCCCTGTGAGGGTGGGAAGGGCTGGGGGATGGAGTTCCCAGAGCAGCTGGGGCTGCCCTGGATCCCTGGCAGTGCCCAAGGCCAGGCTGGACATTGGGGCTCATTGGGAGCAGCCTGGACAGTGGGAAGTGTCCCTGCCATGGCACGGATGGGCTCTGAGGTCCCTCCCAACCCGAACCATCCCGGGGCTGCGCTCAGGGACATTTCGGGGCTCGCCCCGCACTCACCGGCCACGCTGCGCAGCCCCGGCGTGAAGAGCGCCTGGAACTGCGGCGCCTGCAGCCTCATGGTGCCCGTGCCGGTGCTGGAGCCGCTCCCGCCGTGCCGCCGCCGCAGCAGCCGCAGCCCGGCCCTGCGGGGCACAACCCAGAGCTCAGCCCACATCCGCGGCACGGCCGCCCCGGCCCGCCGCCCCCCTCACTCACCGGGGCCCAGCTCCCGGATCGCCGGCGCCGGCCGATGAGCTCAGAGCGGCGCCGGGCTCGGGGATCGGCACCGCCCCGGGGCCGGGCTCGGGCAGCGGCACCGCCCCAGAGCCGGGCCGGGCTCGGTGAGGCGGCACCACCGGGCATCGGCACCGCCCCGGGGCCGGGCCGGGCCCCGCTCCGCCCCCGCTCCCTCAGCGGGACCGACAGGACTGTGCGCAGCCGGGAGAGATTCATAAAAACCCTCACAGAATCACTGAGTTAGAAGAGATCTTCAAGACAATCGAGTCCAGCCCAGCCCCAACAGCTCAACTCAACCCTGTCCCCAAGTGCCACATCCACAGAGCTTTAAATCGCCCCAGGGATGGGGATTCCCTCCTGACCCCAAAACCCCATCTTGTTCTGTGGAGCACGTATCAGTGATATGAGTGATAATTGATTATTTACAGCTATTAATGTGCACTTGATAATGTCTAAATGCAGTTGAGATCTTGCCCACATTGAATTACACCCATTTTCACCAATTTGGCAGGAGCTTTAATTGTGTCTTGAGCCCCAAACACTCTCCCCTCCAAGCTTGTGTCACCTACATGTTAATAACTTGGATGCCAGGTCGTTAATGAGGGTGAGTCATTGGCCTTCATCTCATCCTTCCTATAACTCCATCCCATACAGCCTCACTTTCTGCAGGGTTGGATTCTGTTCCCTCTCCCGTCTGTGAGCCTGCAATACCATCACAGAGTCATGGAATGGGCTGGGCTGGAAGGAACCTTAAAGCTCACCTTGTTCCAAGCACCTGCCATGGGCAGGGACACCTTCCACGAGCCCCCTCCAACCCTCAACACTTCCAGGGATGGGGCATCCACAGCTCCTCTGGGCCATGCAGAAGCCACCCAACCCTATGGATGTCAGCTCAAAGCTCTCAGCACAGTATTAGAAAGCTGGTTTTGCTCTGGCACTGGTAACTTCCCAAAATGCTGCAAGGCTGTGTGGCCAGAGCTTTGGACAAGATGGCATTAAAAAAAACCTGGACAAACACGTGCAGTTTTCCAGCAATGCCTGGGTTTGATTTTCTAGGGGAAGAACACACTGGATATCAGCAGTGTGGCTGCAGGTTATTTCTTTGCAGTCAGCCATCACGTTCCTCCTCTTGAAAAGTCATCAGAGCACTCTCACACCATCGTATAGAAATAAAATAACCCCATTTCTGGGCTCAGCCTTCCACCCTGTGGTTAAATCCACAGTTCCCTTTTTCAAGGCGTGCTTATCTCACTTGTCCTCTGCCATCCCCTGTGCGGCACCAGCCCTGTTGGCACTTGGAGGGCAGCAGCTATAGAAGAGCCCAGAGGGAGAGCACCCAGGGCACGGGGAACACACAGCCCCGGCTCCTGGCAGGACTCTGAGATCCCAGGTAACCCCCAGGGGTGTCTGCTGTGCTTGGGGTCTGCCTTGTGCTTGCTCTGCACACTGCCAGGGCCCTGCTTTGCAAAGCCACTTTGCACTGGGAAAAGCACCTGGAATCTGCTGCTTCTTCGGTGCTTGGGAGGTCTTGGGACACATCAGCTGTAAGGGAGAAAATAATTATTTTTAGGAGGCTGGATTTGTGCTTTGGATTTCTACTGTCCTTCTAAAAGGAATATATTCCTTGCAAAAAGGAATATTCCCCTTTACCTTCTGCTTATTACTTATATAACCAAAACATAATCAAAACTTTGTCCTGAAAACTTACCATATCCATTTTTGTGAGGAGCACAATCCTCTTGTAGCCTTCTAGTTGCCATCTTTGCTTGCATACACTTATTTTGATTCACTTTTCAGCAATTTCTCCCATGAAATAAGGTAGCACAGACTGCAGTTTGTTCTCAGGGGCTGTGGTCTTACACAGCTGCAGAAATTCAGCTTCCAAAAGTTGTGCTGTCAGTCTTAGTCTGGCAGCAAGAGAAGGACAAATAGCATTTTGGAAAACAAAGCAAGAAAAAATAAACTGAAAAGAACAGGATAATAAATTAGGACTCATCTGAATTACAGTACCATTTTATATCCAGTTTCAGTTCAGTAACATGCTGCACAGAAAATATAAGATCTAATACATGCAAGCTTTTAGGCAGAAAAAAAAATATCTTTAGGATCTCTTTGAAAGTAAAGGGAAAAGAAAATCAGAACCCTTAACTTTTTGTGGACAAATTAAAACCAAAAAATCCACAGGTAGCCAAACTCGCTTTAAATAAACCCAAGGGAGAGTCAGCTGTTGTAGTTATAATAATGCCTGAAACCAACACACTGACATTATTTAAGTAGATATGAATGCTAAGCACTTGCAAAACATGAGGCTTTTAAAAGATTTTTTAAAAAATAATGTACTGAAGTAATTGCTTTTTTTAGGAAAAAAAGAGTGAATGCTCTCAGCAGTGAAACTAATGAAGCTTCTTTCCCAAAGTTGTTTTTTATTTTCAAGGATGTGAGCATAATGAATTTTTACTTCTAAACATAGAGAAAAGTTAATATTAGAGTATTTACTGGTCTCATCAGGTAAATGAAAGGATGTTTCCTGAAGCAGCAAAGAAAGCCTGATGTCAGTAATTTCTGCAGGCAGAAATGTGTGCTGTAAAGAATATTTGTCCCATTGTCTGTGGCTTGCTACATTTTGGGAGAACCAAAATGCCTGGCCAAGATGTCATTCCATAATCCAACACACACAAAATCAAACTCTGGCTCCCCAGGAACAATCCATTAGCAAACTCCTGAGTTTCAGCTGGCCTTGTGCACATTTGGGCTGTCAGGAAAGCAGAGAGGCACAAAATGTGAATATAGATAATGAGAGGAGTTGGACATTAAAAACACACTCTACTGTAGATGATGTGTCATTTTAATGAACTCAGCACTCAGACTGCATTTTGAAAAATAGTTACTGTACAGCAGAATTATTCCAACTGTGATCAGTGGGAGTGCTTCCAGTCCCTGGGTTATTCCTGCTCATTACCATTGGAAAATATTATGTTTTCCATGTGAGCAATTGCTGTAGTGCCCCAGGGAGGTGGTGAGATTGGGCTGGGGGGGTGCATTTCTCTTCAGTAAGAACATTTTGGAGAGCTGCTGTTCTGAATGCCCATTTTTATATTAGGTTATACATGAATGATTACACTGAGATTTTTTTTTTCTCTCAGTAATTCATGAAACTATCCATAAGAAAATGCTGGGTTTAAGCATTAAAAATTGTTGTTCATTGAAATTAGGAACAAACAAAGCCGTTTCTCTTACACCAATAATTAATGGTGGAGAATTAGCCTTGAGGTGAGCAGTGGCTGTGTCTTTAGAGAGCTTTACTGGAGGAGTAACTAGACAGTAAATCCCAGTAATCAGCTATCTTATATAGAGTGGGAGCTAAAATATGGTTATTTCTGTTCTTGGAGGAAATGGGACTCTCCCCAAAGCCAGTCCACACAAACCTGACTCACCTGCCATGGAGAAATGCTTAAATCCACGGATGCCCTGAACATCCCCACATGAAGGTTTGAAAGCAGCAGCTTTTCAGAGAGGGCTGGCAAAGGGAGCAACATGAAACGTGCTCTGTGTACCTATATTAAATTTAGCTCCCACAAGAAACATTTTCCTGCAAGAAAAGAAGAGCGTGTCCCTGCGAGGCAGCAGTTTCACCCCTTTGATCATGGGGATAGATTGTGATCCGTGGGTTGGGTGTTTAACCCTTGGCTTGGCTTCAACCTTTGTTCATTTTTAGCTCCTGTGAAATGGTGCCAGGGCTGGTGGGCCGATGCCTGGCTGTGCCCACCCACCACCCAAAGATGATGGCCAGTGGGATGCCAGCTTTCCTGCTCCTCCTCTGGACAACAAACACACCTCAAGGTGCAGGAGGTGAGGAGTTCCAGCTGCCAGGGCAGTGCCTGTCCCACTGTTCCCAGTTGGTGCCTGGAGGAAAGAGAGGAAAGAATCTCCAGTCATGGGGACACAACTTGTGCTGGGGTTTTCTGAGCCTTCATGGGGCAGTTTTCCTACTGCAATGTGAATTCCTGGGCATCCAAGGTTGCAATCACAGGAGAAGAGAAATGAGGGCTGATCGTGGAATCCCAGAATGGTTTGGGTTGGAAGGGACCTTAAAGCCCATCCAGTTCCACCCTCTGCCATGGGCAGGGACACCTTGCCCTGTGCCAGGCTGCTCAGAGTCACATCCAGCCTGGCTTGGGCACTGCCAGGGGTGCTGATGGCCCTCAGCAGCCTGGGGTTTGGCAAATAAGGGAGAGCAGGCTCTGAAGAGCTGGAGGGGAGCAGATTGATTATTTCACTGCCCTGCTATTTATATGCTAACATTTCCCCCAGCATGAGCTCCTCCTCATTTCCAAGGGAGCTCCAGGAATCCTTCTTGCCCTGTCATTTTAAATTATCCTTCCCATCCTTCTGTGTTTCCTTCCATTTGTGCTTAATTCCTCTGTTCATCATTTTGGTTCTACTCTCACATGCAACTTGTGGCTGTCAACCTTCTCTTTGAAAGCCCCCCACGCTGCCCTCTCCTGCAGGCTGATGGGGGTGAGAATTGTTCATGCAGCTGATCATTCCATCAGCCCTGTGTGACAATGAGGACCAAGATGGAAACTCTGAACCTAATTAACAAGCCAAATGTAATATATCACAGTAATTTTCAAGTTGAAACTGTTGTAAAAATTTCATTTTTCAAGCTAAGTTTTAATAAACTCTTATCTGATGGGGTGGTGGTTATTTAATTTTTTTTTTTTGGTCAAATATTAGAAATATTTTATAAGGAGCTGTTGAGAGAACATAATATTAAAATGAAATTATTTGCTTGTATTGCTCTCTGCTTGCAAACAGGTTTTGCTCTAAACAATTCACTGGATTGGACACTGATGGATATTTTTGTTTTCTCCATTCCAGTCCAGGTTTTGCCACCTGTTAACTTCACCCTCACAGTCTCTGCGTTAGCACAAGTGCTGTTACAGTGGGAGCCAAACCCTGCTCAGGAACAAAACAACTCCACCATTAGGTACGATGTGAAAATCCTGAGCCCTGAGCCAGAAGAGGTAAGAGAAAAAAATAAACCAAGGATCCTAAGAAGGGTAAATCCCTGCAGTTCTCTTTTATCTAAACCCATGCTTTGGGAGCTGCAGAGATTCCCTCTCAGCCATCCCTGCGGACACAGCTCTGCTGGGGTGAGCCTTGTGAAGCCCCAAACTGCCCATTCGATCAGCATTTTACTACTGCACAAGAACATAACTTTGTTATCAAAATGCTTAGGCAGAGCCACAGACTGAGAATCAACCCTGAGCAGTCCTATCCCATTCCCATCCCATTAGCTACTCACGCGACCCCTAACACTGGAGCCATATCCCATATCACCGGCGGGTGGTCTCATGTTAGGTACAAGGGGATTCGCCCCCATCCACACTCAGGAATTGCTGATGATGCTGTATGGTAGGTTATTCATTAATCCGGAAGCAATCCTGGAATTATTGATAATGCTGTATGATAGGTTATTCATTAATCCAGAAGCAATCCTGGTGGATCCTTCTGTTTGAAGTTTGGTAAGCAGGGCAAACAATAAAGAGAGATAGGGATAAGGGAATTGTCGAGCTAAGCATGATCAAAGCTAATAATGTCAAACTGACCCTAAGAGCCGTGCCAAGCCATGGGAACCAAGCCAAGTACACCGGGAATTGACCATATTAGGATAGGAGTTCAAAGGTTTAAAGAGGAAGACTCATCAGGAGACCCTTGCCCGTGAGGAAGGCACCGAAGGACCACCATGAATAATCCTCAAAATAGATGTCTCCGCCCACGCTCCGCCCACACCACGCCTCTTATGAATATGATGTAACCCTGCACCCAAGACTGTATAAAAGCTTGCTTCTGTCATGAGATAGCTAGAAATCCCTTTGTGATTTCTCCAACGCGTCGTAATAAAATACCTCCTGTCTATGCTGACTTACTTGAGTCTCTTAGGCAGTTATTCTCGCCTTTTGGGGCAAAATTCGGTATCACTTGGAAATTCCAGTTTTCATTTTGAGGGGAGGATGGATCCTGGTTTTGAGCACTGGCTCCCCATTCAGCTCACTGAGCTCAGCCCCAATGTGTGGCTCAGTCTCTGCAGGTCCCTCATTTTGCCTCCCATCCCCTGTGGTTATTTGGTATTTTCTGTTCCAGTATGACACCAGCAGGACGCAGAGCGTGCGAACAGCAGCGCTTCACAACGGCTTCTGCGCCCGCGTGCGCACCTTGCTGCTGCAGGAGGGCCTCCAGAGGGGCAGTGACTGGGTGCAGGGACACCTCCCACCTCTGCCAGGTAGGAAAACCCACCTGCGCGGGGGCGACCACGGCCCTGGATCCGGCTATCTGGTGAGGGGCGAAGGCCAGGGCCCCTGTGCATCTGAAGCCAGCCCCCCTCGGCGGCTTGGCCTCGGGCTGAGCTGGGGGATAGCTCGGAGCAGCGCGGTGAGAGACGAATTAGGAGGCGACCACTTGCTGGGGGTAAACTGTCGGTTTATTACAGAAGAACCAACAAGGAGGGGAAACACCCAGCAAATGGCCCCGAACAGGGGGCAGGAGAGGGTTTTAAGGGAAAAGGGGGGAAGAAGGCAGGGAAACCCGGCTATCCAATAGAAATACATATTTGGAGGTACGAAACATAACTGATATACTAAAGTAACCAACTGTTATAAATCATAGGAGGGGCTCCAGGGCTACAGCCAACCATAATTCCCAGAGAAAAGAAAATTCTCGAAACCTGGGAGGAGAAAAAGGGTGATTGACTGACCCCAAGGAGGAAACAACTTTCACTTTATAAGAGAAACCAAGGGAGGAGCAGTTTCATTTCCATAGCAGCCTAACTGGCAGGGTCCTGGGAAAGGAAGAAACCATTTAATACAGAAAATGGGGGGAGCAAACTAACAAACTTAAGAACACACCACAGCACCCACCGAGGGCCTGGGCTGTGTGTTCTGCCCCAGTCTGTGGGCTAAACACTGAAAGGTGACAGGTTTAGTTCTTTCAAATAAAAATACGGCGCTTTCCGCTCTACCTGCTACAAAAGGATTTCGCCCAGACCTTTCCCTGCTGCAGTGGAGCCTGGAGTGCAATCTGGAGGGGCAAAATGTCAACAACACCTATAAAATTTTCTAACAATGCCTTGCTAAGGCTGAGTGAACCTAGCGTGGTGCACCTAGGGTATTGCTGCCTTGTTGCACATGAAATACACAGAGCTGTGTGGCACAGCTTTACTCACTGCTGGGGAACTGCATCCTTCCCAAGGCACAGAGGGTGTGATGGGCATTGAGTGCAACAGACACAGCTACAATGGCCCAAACTGGAATCAGAAAGGAGGGGAATTGGGTGCCACAGACACAGTTATAATGGTCCAAAATGGAGTCAAAAAGGAAGAAAATAGATGCAACAGACACAGCTATAATGCTCCAAAATGGAGTCAAAAAGGAGGAGAATTGGGTGCCACAGACACAGCTACAATGGCCCAAACTGGAATCAGAAAGGAAGAAAATTAGATGTAACAGACACAGTTATAATGGTCCAAAATGGAATAAAAAAGGAAGAAAATTAGATATAACATACAGAGCTATAAAGGCCCAAACTGGAATAAAAAAGGAGGGGAATTAGGTGCAACAGACACAGCTACAGTGGCCCAAACTGGAATCAGAAAGGAAGAAAATAGATGCAACAGACACAGCTATAATGGCCCAAACTGGAGTCAAAAAGGAGGAGAATTGGGTGCCACAGACACAGCTATAATGGCTCAAACTGGAATCAAAAAGGAAGAGAACTAGATGCAACAGACACAGCTATAATGGTCCAAAATGGAATAAAAAAGGAAGAAAATTAGATGTAACATACAGAGCTAGAAAGGCCCAAACTGGAATAAAAAAGGAGGGGAATTAGGTGCAACAGACACAGCTACAGTGGCCCAAACGGGAATCAAAGTATTTTAGCAACAAGAACCTGTCATGATTTTGCAGTGAAGTTTTCTTTCTGCTCTGTCATTCCTTGCCTCTCCAGGTGCTGCAGAGACCTCTGTCACCAACCTGTCCTGTGTCACCCACGTCACCATCCCTGGCAATGTCTCTCTCCACTGCAGCTGGCTCCCTGGCCCAGGGGCTCCAGAGGACACCAAATATTTCCTCTTTTACAGGTTGGTGTTTGCTGCTTCTGCAGCCAGCAATGAATTTCTCTAAGAGCACCCTGTCTCACCAGCGTTTTCATTTAGGTACGAGACACACACAGAGGAATGTCCCACTTACAGCAAAGACAAGTGGAGCAGGAATATTGAGTGCAGGTTTTCAAGCACTCAGATTCAGCCTGGTGAGATTGACAACCTCATTGTCATTCACATTAATGGCTCCAGCAAACGTGCTGCAATCAAGCCTTTCCAGCAGTTATTTAACCAAAATGCCATCGGTGAGTAGGAATACATGAAAAAAATATCAAAAATGTCTGGCAGGATTGTCAAAATGTGAGGAAGCTCTGTTGGATTGAGTGGTACTTGATGCAGGTGAAAGGATCTGTTGATTTTGTGTAGTCATCTTAAGGGAATTGAAGAAATAACTGGATTGTTTTACCTAAATTTGATTTTAACCATCTATTTTAAATTACAGAATTGCAAAGCTAAAAGCTAGTAAAGGCAATTAGTTTTCTGTTTGTTAGCTAAAGCATTATTTCCAATATTAATTTGCAGTTGATTTAGTCAATATACTTTAAAACACTGTTTTTACTACCCTTAATTTTGCAGCCTTTTTTAAAAAAGGAATGAGACACGTGGTGTTCAAGTTAACCCTGTAAAGGAAGGCATTAGAGTCTGGAATGAAAGGGAATATCAGTCATGACTGTCTATCATCTTTCATCCACACAAATAATTTACCTCCCTGCATTAGTTCCATACCTTTTTTTAAACAGATAACAATTCTCATTTTCATGACTTCACTAAGAGAAAAAAATCACAAATTTTCTTCTTGGAAATCATCCCCAAAACAGCAGCTGGATTCCTTTCATTTTTTTCCATTCTTCAGTAACTTTCCTGGCTACATCTGGATTTTCTTTTTCCTGGAAATGAAATTTTTCTAACTATTCTACAATAAATGTAATACTTCTGTGGAAATTAATTTAATAAATTCCTCTTTCCCCAGTAATCTAAATTTCCAAAAATTTAAGTGGATTTTCCAAACCGTTTTCCTCTAACTATTACCAGCAATGTAGTTATTCCTCTTAAATCCTTATCTTCTCAGTCCAAAAAGGGAAATAAATGCAATAATTATAAGTCCTACTTGGAAACACTATCAGGTTATAAAATGCTCCAGGTTTTTAGTATTTAAACTTGTCTCTATAAATAACTCACCTGTATGCTTTTCTTTTTGCAGAGAAAGTGAATATTCCCAGAAATATCAGCATATCCCTGCAGCAAAACCATCTCCTGGCCACGTGGGAGAAGCCAATTTCTCCTTTCCACGAGGAATGTTTTGAATATGAATTTTATCTCATCAACCTGAAGTCAGGTAACAAGCAGGTAATTGCTCCTCCAGCCTCCAAAATTATCCAACATTCCTGTCCTCTCCAGCTGGAATTTGCCTTCCTCTTTTCTTCAATTCCTTCTCAATCTGCCACAAACCATCCCCAAGGAACTTAGGGAAGCAGGACAAAATTGGATTTATTCAGCTTGTGCATCTGGGCTCAGAACAGTTTTCACCATTTAGGAAATGCTGCATTGAGAATCTGCAGGAAGAATGGAGAAATGAGGCATTTTCCAGGAATTTTCCCTGGAATTTTGGTGTGTTGGGAGAAGTTACACCTATAAAAACGGGGCTCTTACCTCGCAATTAACAAAAACAATAAGAAGATAAACACAGTTTGAGTTTGTTTTCTGAATGGTTGAGTCTTAATTAATCTCTGACAGCACAACTTGTGTTCCTGGCAGATCCTGAGCCTCTCCTCCAGCAGTTTCCAGCTGAGGGTGGATGCCAGCAGCAGATATTCCATCAGGATCAGGGCCAACCTCAACCACATCTGCCGGGCCCCAGGAGTCTGGAGTGACTGGAGTGCCACCAATTACATTGGTGAGAATCCCCAAAATTCCACTGCTAATTGGGAAAACAATGCTGCCTCATCAGGAGCCTGCCCAGAATTCCCACAGGAAAACAGAGATCTGAAGGAAAAACCTGACTTGTTAACGCCAAGGGGATTTAAATCTGTTCCATTAAAAACAAACTAATTGCAAGAAGATTGGTTTTAAGCAATGCTTTGTGAAATTTCCAGATTGCTTTAAACTCAAGGCCTTTTCTTGCATCACTGCAGTTTTTTCAGGTTTTTCCCTGCTCCCATTGTGATGTTCATGCTGGAAATAAATATGAGAGGCCATGTCAGCCATTGATTCATTGAAATTTTCTCACCTCTTCAATGCTGAGGGGAAAAAGAACATTCTTTTAGCATCTTTTAGCATTTTTTAGCATCCCCATTGCTGGGGAGCAATGCTGCCTAATCAGGAGCGTGCCCAACATCACAAATTTCTAATAGGAAACAGGAAAACAGGGCTTTGAATTTAATTTACTGAAATCATCTCACCCCTTAAATGCTGGGAGAAAAAAGAACATGATTTTAGCATCTTTGGAGCCTGATCATTGGCCCCATGCTGCTTTGTATTTCCTGCTTGCTGACCAAGTTGTTGTGGAAATAACAGTTCCTTTATCACTGCACGTTATCAACTGTTTGTTCTTAGACATCCTCCTTTGCTCTTATCTCTGGAGTTTCTCAACTTCCTTGTTTTCACTTAGAAAATACTCTGTTACACTCCTGTTTACTACATTTCCCCTCCTGTACCACGAATTCACATTTTCAGTGTTTTGCCTCCTGTCTCCAACACATCCCCTTGGCCTCCCCACGTGGCTCACACAGCAAACATGGAAAATTCATTCTGATGGCAAAACAAAAACAAAATAATAATTGATATTATTATTATAATATCAATTATTATCTTCCCTAATAATTTATTTAAATCTCAACAATATCCAAGGACATGACCACTTAACCCAGTTTTTCTTATGGAAAGGAGTTTTTAGGGGCTTGTTGGAGTTCGTTAGCACAATACAGGTTCCTGCCACTTTCTCAGCCACTTGTTCTCTCCTTTATTTCAAAATAAAAGAAAATTATTGCTGAAAATCACTGAAATCAGAAATTCAGTGCCATGGAAACTCCTCTTGAAGCTCTATATTTAATTTCTTATTCTAGGATCAAGTCCTCAAACTCTTTATGTTAATTTGTGATCTGAATACAACCACATTAAACACCTAATGAAATATTTACAGTATTGAAATTCTAAACACATTTCAAATCATCTGTACTAAAAGAATACATTTAATTTCTTTTTTTTTTCCCTTGAAATTCAGGGCAAAATAAACTGGAGAGTTCCATAGCCTGGATTCTCACTCTGCTCTGTGTGTCCACGTCCTGCATGTTGCTGCTTGTTGCTATATTATGCCAAATGTAAGTATTAGCATTTTTTTATTACAATATATCCAAGAACCAGGTATTCAACAAGTGTGGGGGGATGTCACAGGCTTTGCTTAATTCTGAGTGAAAGCTGAGTATGCAAGCAAAAATAATCAGCCTCATTAATTATCAGTAATAACATTCAGCAAAACTAGTGGGGTAAGAGAGTTATTCAATTTAATCTTAGACAACAAACCCATATATTGAGCGAGGTGAATTTGTTAAAATTTGTTAAAATTGTATTTGTCCTTATTTCTTCATTAAATGCACCTGGATTGGGTCAGTGATTTCCTCAGATAAATCTTCATTTATCCCTGGTGAAAGCTGCTCAGAACATCCCTCATGGCCAAAATACCCAGACCCCTAATGTTTGCTTCGGGTATTTGAAATACTGATTTTTATTTTTAATTATACTGTGGCTCTGCACAGCAAAGGCCAAAACTCCCCAAATGCACAGTGAGGAAGCCCAGCTGCACTTTGGACTTGTGTCTGTGACAGCCAAATCATAAGTGATGGATTAAAGGCTCCGTGTAATGAGAAGTTTCTCCCTGAAACACAGCAAGCAGCAATTACCAGTCCACAATAACCACATCTCCCCTTCATGGAAGTGCTAATTCCCTATTAATTTCTTTAGTGCCTTTTCATTTGTTGCATCCTTGGCTGTTTTCCTGTCCCTGCTGTGTTTCCTGTATCCAGTGAAGGTGTTGTGGACAGGATGCTCCCAGAGCATAACTGAGATGAACTCTGCCTGTGGGACTGTTCCCAGGGCTCTGGCAGGGGCAGCACAGGGAATTCATCCCTGTGGAATTTGTAGGGAAGAGATGAGAATCCTGGCTCCATGTTTCAGAAGGCTGATTTATTATTTTATGATATATATTATATTAAAAGAAAATTATACACTAAAACTACACTAAAGAAAGAGAAGGGAGACATCAGAAGGCCAGCAAAGAATGAATAATAAATCTTGTGATTGCTCACAGCCTCCACACAGCTGCAATTGTGATTGTTTTTAATTAATGACCAATTTCACATGCTGGGCAAACAATTCTCCAAATCACATTCCAAAGTAGCAAAACAGGGAGAAGCTGAAGCTTCCCAGGAGAAAAGACTCTGGCAAAGGATTTGTCATAAAATTTGTCAGTGACAATCCCCGTGTCACACACTTGTCGCCAGCTATGCAGCCTTGATGTCTTGCTGAAAATCCCCAAATTTCTCTTACTTACATGATTCTTTTATGGATTGAGCTGGAGTTGGAGGTCTTCCCTGCTCCAGCACCTTCTCCAGCTCTCTCTTCTCTCTTTGGGACAGCAGAACCAACACCAGCCAGCAGCAGTTTGTTCCATGTTTCCTGTGGAGTTCTGACAGCATTTGAATATTACATTTACCCCCTCTGGAGAATCTGAAACAAACACAAGGGGAGAAATAAATCCAGGGTACAATTCTACTCAACCTGGAGATGCTGTATTGATGCATTTTATAATTTTAATCCAAATTTTAAGGAGCTTTTCCAGCTGCTTGCTGCTACCTTGGTTGCTCCCAGGAGCTTCTCTCCAATATAAAATTCCCCAACACCCAAAGGCTCATTTCTTTCTCTCTTTGCCAACATGATGAAAACTTTACCTCCCTGCTTCTCTGAATTTCATGGAGCTGCTCACCTTATTCCACCCTTCCCTGCTGCTCCTTCTCCTCTGTAATCCCCAGCCTGCCCTGGGAGGATGGGCAAGTGTAAGAAGATGAAACACAGGGTTGTACCTGCAGATATTAAAAAAAGAAAAATCGAGCAGGTTTCCTAGATCACAGTTTCATTAGTACTCTCTGTTTTTACTGCTCTTGAAAATTCATGAAGTGCACTCCGTGATTCAAGCCACGGAATCGTTTCAAATTTCCTGTGATTTCAGCCATTATAAGGAATTTCATTACAGCAAAGCACTCCATAAATTTTTCCGTGTACTTGCAGGCACCAGGGTTAAAGCCCAGCGTTTGGGAGGAGTGCTGCCAGGCAAAGGGGCCCTGTGGGACTGTTTGGGCAGGCTCTTCCCTTCACTCACTTGCAGAGGCTGATAGTCGTGATAAAAACCACAATTGAATGCTCTCCTGGTTTGCTCTCTGCCTTTAGCAGTGAGCATTGTACTTCCCAAGAAATAACATTTTCTCCTGTGAGCCCCCAGGAGGATGGGGTCAGTAAACTGCTCTGGCATGAGGGCACTCAGTGCCCTCCACACCCCAAAATCTGTGTGGTCACCCAGGTATCCCCCCCTTCTGCACCCCCTCAGCAGCCCACGAGCAGCATCACAGCCAGCTTTGGAAAGCTCCATGGGGAATCTCAGGGGAGGCACTCTGACATAGAAATAAACCAAAAACCTCCTCAATCCCATCACAGACCAAGGAGAACTTGTTCTCCTGCCTGTTTCTCATGTTTATCTCCAGCCTTTCCGTGTCACAGCCTGTGGGAAGAGTGGAAATTTCAGAAAGGCAGCCACAGCACAAACCCCAGACCCTGACATGCTGATTTAAGGCACCAGGGTCCTGTGGGGTGTGACCAAGGCCTGAAGGTCCAAGCAGTGAGCATGGACAAAGGCTGTGCCTTAACCTGTGCAGAGATACCTGGGATGCTTTTTGTGACGAGATCTTTAACCACAGAACTCTGACTTTTCAGTAACCTCCAAAAAAGGACAGCACCATTCTGAGGGCACCACCCCAGCAACGACCTGAGGGGCAAAGCAGCCCCCAAGGACACACTGCTGCCTCATTTCTCTGGGCATTTGTGCACCTTCCTTAAGTGCTCCCCTTCCAGAAGTGACGTGTAATTTATGCTTTTTGCTGCCTCAATAAATAATTTTCTCATGGCTCCATCAAAATCTTTTCTTGGCAAACAGCACAACGAGGAACACACCAATCAACAAAAATATGCAAATGTTTCCCCCAAAAGACCTCACAGCCTGTTTTTCCTCCCCATATTCCCATTTTTGGGTGTACAATTCCCTCCCTGCAGCAGAGGGGAGAATCCCACAGCTCGTGTCTGTGGGGTGTGTGGCCCTTCCCTTCACCTGATAATTAGTGAACATCAATGTCACCTTCAAGGCAGCAGCAGCTCAGCCAGCAAGGTTTAGCTCCAAGCTGACAGACAGAAAATATTATTCCTCCTCACCAGGAGAATAGTAATAGGATAAAGGTAAACTTGAGAGAACTCAGAAAGCTTCCGGAAGAAGAATAGTCCTAAGAACATAAGCACTGAACTAAAGAGACATCAGCCAGGGGGATTGTCACAAAATGAAGGGGGCAGAGGAGCAGATCTGGCAGATTCCTCCAGAACAGAGCCTGGGTACCCACTCTGGGCTGAGCTCTCCTCACTCAGGCCAGGCTCCCACTGAACCTGCCCCTTTGGACACAGTGCTGTCCAGGGCTGGAGGCAGCGAGGTGTTCAGCAGCAGGACTGTGGGATCTGAGCTCTGGCATGCACCAAAGACAGGAACAGTCCCCTCTGGTGTCACAGAGCCCAGGGGAGTGAGCAGGGTGAGCTATCCCAGCACTGAGCAGATCCATTTGCTCTCAGCTGTCCCTGCTGCCTTCCCTTGGCACTCCGTTATTTGTGGATGCCCTCCTGCCACGGGGCACGGGCAGCTCATGGCCACACACCAAAGCCTGAGCACGAGGCAGCTTGTCCAGCTTGTCCAGCCTGTCCAGCCTGTCCTGCCTGTCCACATGAGGCACCTGACAGCAGCCCCTGGGAGCAGCAGTGTGAACAGAGAGATCAGAGCAGGTCAGCTCTCCCCAGACAGCCCCAAAGGCCCTGGCAGGGGATGGGCACAGCCTCACCCACCCCCTCCTGTCCCCTGCCTGTCCCCAGGGGTGACCTGTGAGGAGTGGCACAGCTGCCCAGCCCCAGGGGGAAGGAACATCACCTGTTGGAGCCCTGACTGCTAAGAATTTTTAACTTTCCGTGCTAACAAACACTAACCCCAAAAAACCCACCACGTTTAACCTAAAACCATAGAAAAAAACTTCCAAAATTTGAATTATAAAAATAAAACAATAAGTAGATAATTTAAATAAAAGTGCATAATACCACATAATAAAAACTTAAACTCAGTAGTTAGGGTTCCAACAAATATCCCTGACAAGAGGCGCTGCAGGCAGAGCTGGCTGCTCCTGGGGCTCAGCCCCTGCTGCTGCTTGGGTCCCTCATCCCCCAGGAACATCAATTCTCTCTCATCCCTTCACTGCTGTTTCTTACAGAAACCACGTTTGGACAAAACTGTTCCCACCAATCCCAACGCCCAGCAACAAATTCCGAGACCCTTTCCCAATTGACTACGAGGTAAATAATTTTCCTTTTATTAAACTAAAATGAATGCTTTTGTTTGTGTGCTGCTTTTCCCCTGTAAGGCTGAGGCTGAGAGCAAAGAGAGTCACAGAATCATTAAATCTCAAAAAGATCTCCAAGACCATCAAGTCTAACCCCATGAGAATGAAATCTATTGGATTTAGCAACTCCTGAGGCTGATTTTGCCATCCTCCCTGCTGTGGGAGATTCTCCCCTCGCTGTGTGGCTCCTTCCTTTGCCCAGGTCCCAGTCTGCTGCAGCTCTGGCTTTGCTTGCAGGTGTTATGGTTTGGGAAGGGTTAAAAAGGAACAGAAGGGTTAAAAATGAAGAGAAGGATTAAGTGATATTGTCC